AAAAATTTGAAAAATATCAAATAAATGAACACTTTTTTTAAATTTATATTTTATATATGATAATTTAAATAAAATATATATATATATATATATATATTTATTTTATTAGAATATAACTTTTATTTTTTGAAATATATTTTTCTTGATAAAAAAAATATGTATGTGTAAAATGGTAGTGGGGGCAAGTTCCCCTACTCTCTTGCATGTAGATCCGTTCCTGTGTGAATTTCAATAATTAAACGGATTGATTAAAAAGTTCCCAATGAATAGATTAACAATACAATCAAATAGTTTTCAAATTTTGTAAAATTTTTTGAAATTGATATATTCATTAAGAATTTTTAATTAACATTTGTATTATTAAAAATTAATATAAATCGTGAGTTATTAAATAAAATAACTTAATTTACCAATAGTTACTCTTGGAATAAGTACATCACTTCCTCCACCTCCTCCCCCAACATACATATGGGGTGGAGTCGTCTAAGTGAAAACATTTGCTTATATAAAAATATGAGAACAACTAATAAATCATTGGATTAAAAAATTAACTTAGTTTACAAGATTATAAATAAAAATACCACATACCACTACCATCATAATTTTCTCAATCTTTGCTATTGTCACCATTACAATTGTCGGTGTTGTCACATCATGTGATGATATAATGATGATTGTGATGAAAGCAGTGCAAGTAGCGATAGTGGTGATTCAAATGGTGATGATGATGTTCACAATGATGACAATGATGATAGTAACCATGAAAATAGTAATTATGTGGTGTCAATAATTATAATAATGGTAGTAAAAATAATAATAATGAAAATATAGACAAAAATAATCCTGAAGAACTATATATTTGTTTGTTTATGATGAAAGAATTGCCAAAAATAAATGTACAACCATAAAAGAATTTACTTTCACCAATTACTTAATTCCAATATTTTATTGTTGAAATGTATGTGATGGAAAGAATCGCCACAAAATATACAAGCATCAATGTATTTACGTTCTCAAATTTACTTAATTCCAATCTTTATCATTGAAAGTATTCTCACTCAGTTGACATATACATGTTATCCTCTTTACATTTATCAACATCATTTGACTAAGAGAAAGTCTAGATGTCAGAATTTTTCACTAAAAAATAACTCATTATTTATTTATTTATTGAGAAACTATATCCAGAGTGGCTGTAATTAAGACAAAACTTCTTTGCCACTGCAGATCAATGCTTGCAAGATTAATAACATAATAGACATTTGTGTAATATACAGAAGTACACCAAGCCCATAAACTTCATGTGCATATCACCTTTTTTCTTGATATACCGATGCAAACAATTTCTCAAGGTGTTTTGACTGTAGAATTCTATTTTTAATAATAAAAAATAACTAAATGATTTTAAGTCCAAGGTGTTTTATGGCCTTATTCTACTACCAATACATATTAATGGTTTTTTTTATTTTTTATTTTTTTATCTTGGACTTAACTTTTATCTAAATAGAAAAAATTGTTAGAAAAACGTTATTTATATGTCTTCACTTAACTATTTAACAGTTGTTGTTGTTATTATTATTATTATTATTATTATTATTATTATTATTATTATTATTATTATTATTATTATTATTATTATTATAACTGATAAACAAAACAGCAAGAAACTAGTATCGAATCCATATTTAAGATTTTGAAATAACTTGTTGATGATATGATGTTATGTTTCTTCTTGTTTTTATTATAAATTTATAAGACCATTTAGAAGAAAATAATAGTATTTATAAGACATTTTACTGTATCTAAAAAGTATTAATTTTATTAAATATTTCTTATTGTTATATAACGAGAACATAGTTTGATAAATAAATATTTCTCCCCACCTCTTGAACTCCCTATTGCTATTTATCAAACGTTATTAGTATTGATGCAATTGAGGATAATGAAAAGGAAAATTAGTAAGGCATTAAACCAATTGAATTATGTGGGTTAGTACATGGGTGTTGTTGTCTTTTAGTTGTGACACATTTTCCTCCTGGTACCATGGAACATAAAATAGGGACAAGGGCAGTAGATACCTCGTTAACATGATAGAAACAAACACATATGTCCTACGTACTAGAATAAAAAAAAATCTAGATCAATCAAAAGTATCATTGTTCATTTCATTCAAAACAAAAATAAACACAGTACCTTATTTATTTCACAAGAAGCTACTAATCCTCATTTGATTGTTCATGGAATAAGTAATTGTTGAACCTACCCCATTAACTCGATTTGTCAAAGACGTTTCCTAGTTACATGACTTCTGGTGCGTTGTTAAAATTCTTCTATCTCTCTCTTTCCCTTTCAATGCACTCCGTCGCATTCTTTTTTTCTGCACCTAGCACTGTTTTTTTGGGTAAATATTCACCCACCATCATGCATAATAAATAAATATCTTCACCTAGCATTTGTTGCTTTAAACAATTGAACTTGATTATTACCAAAAAAAAAAGATATTACTCAAAAAAAAAGTAAAAAAACAATTGAACTTGATCTTCCTGCAATTCTTTGACCCACACGACTCATGCTTCCAATGGGTTGGCACAGATTTTGAATTTCAACACCAAAAAAAAATATATGGACAAGACAGTTTGCGTATATAGTTGACCCTTGGCCAGAAAAAAATGGCATTTGAGCCAGCATTGGCCCACAACCATGTGCAGCATGTGTACGTCAGCCATGTTTTTGTGCTAAAGTAAATCCGTGTCTCAACCTTTGTTATGTCAACATAGCTTTAAGCAATTACAATTGACAGTTAGCCATGTAGTAGATCCACACATTTTTTAATACACTTTTCTAATACTTTGACACTAGTTTATTAGTGATAACAAGATAATGAAAACTTATTAAACAATGTGAGATCATCAATTTTTTATTATTATTTTAATAAATTACAAGCAATAATATATAAGAAGTATATTTCCAAACTAATAAGTCATTGGTTTAAATAAAACTAGATTTAATTTTTTAAGTAAGGTCTAAAGTTTGATTATTTTATATAGAACAAATGTGATGAAAAGAAAATATCTTATCAAAAGCTTCTCAAACATGATGATGGATGCCGATATTATTATTTTGTATAATTATATTATTAGTATGAAATATTTATTAAATTTTTGATTAACCATTTTTAATGAGGTCTCTCTTTTTAATTATATTTTTCTTGATATACAAAACTCAATTCTTGACTTTATTTAAAGAAATTGTGTTAAATATCAATCTATCTAATTCATTGATTGCCGGATACTCCTGTTTTTGTGTCAATTAACATTATTTGTTTTATAGGGAAAATGAAATTGTAACAGTCCTACTGGTGTGTGTTGCGTCAGTTGTCTTCTTCCTTCAGTACCAAAACCCACGTGGGTAGCCTCAACTGGTGAATTGCACAAAAAATTGGAATTAGGATTTGTTGAATAATAGAATTAATTTCCACCAGCGGTTGTGAGACAACAGTCTTGATTCGATTGGTTGAGCCGAGTGATCACAACTGGAGAAAAAATAGCTTATATATAATAATAGTAATAATAATATTGGGAATGGAACAATCTCTAGCAGGGGCCAGATCAGGTTAAGACACATAATTGGGTCAAGTTGAAGAGGACATACTAACAAGCTGATGATATAAAAATTTGAAAATAAGGGGCATTGATACTGCCTGTTATGTTAAAAAAATTGTATAAAACTATAGTAGAATCACCAAGTACAGAACAAATTAAGAAAGACCAATTCACAAATCAATGGTGATAGCTAAAGATAAATTAGAATGAAGGGTCATTATGATTATGAAGCATTCATGAAAAAATCATGGTAGTAAAAATATGGGCCTACCACTTACTGAATGAGCCCAAAGAGTTGTTCATAAAAAGGAGAACAAAACTGTGGAAACACATGTAAATATGGAGAAGTTATGAACATCACAACAGAATGTAGACACTAGAAAAGGCCAGACGTGGGTAACAAACAAGCACTAGTCTATAAAATTAAGCTAACCACATTATTATTCAATTCCCACATGGAAAACAAATTAGCTGAATGTAGCACAACTGTGCCTTTTGGAACCCATGCCTTTTTTTATTTATATTCCTTTTTCTCCTTTTTCTTTTAATTATTTTCTTCCCTCTTTACACAAATCCCTTTTTCTTTTTTGGGAGAATCATAAATAATTCCCAAGGCTAGCATAGCAGGTCTATTTATTTTTATGCACTCTCCACTCATTCCTTCTGTACCACACTCATCAAAGTCTCAACCATGAAAAAATGTATCAATATGGAAAGTGATGCTAACTACAACACCAACACCAACACCAACAACAACATCTTTGCCACATCTTCCTCCTCTTCCACCACCACAACCCCTTCAACCATCACAGACCCAAACACTTGTACCTCAACATCTTCCACCTCAAATTCAGATTCATGCACCAAAGCCAAAACCAAAACCAAAACCAAAACCCCTCAAAATGACTCAACCACTTCTGAAGGCTCATTGGAGAATGGAAAGGACTCAAAGGGGTGCAAGAAGAGGCAGAGGGAGAACAACAACCACCCTACTTATAGGGGTGTGAGGATGAGAAACTGGGGAAAATGGGTGTCTGAAATCAGGGAACCAAGAAAGAAGTCAAGAATATGGCTAGGAACATACCCTACAGCAGAAATGGCAGCTAGGGCACATGATGTGGCTGCACTAGCCATCAAGGGCCACTCAGCATACCTCAATTTCCCAGAACTGGCTCAGCAACTTCCAAGGCCACAAAGCACTTCACCTAAGGACATTCAAGCTGCAGCTGCAAAAGCAGCAAACACTGCCTTTCAACAACAAGTGCTCCATCATTGTGATGAAGAAGAAGAAGAAGAAGAAGAAGCAGAACCATGCCAAGCAGAACAAGCCTCTTCTTCATCTCTCTCAATGGACAATCATAACACTCTAGAGGCTTCAAGCTCTCCCTCTACCAATCATGATGATGATACCTTGTTTGACCTTCCAGATCTTTTCCCTCATGATGGACTTTGCTCCTATTCTTCTTCTTGGCATTTGTGTGCAGTTGATAGTGGCTTTAGGCTTGAAGAGTCTTTTTTTTGGGAGAATTATTAGAGCTTTTTTTTTTTTTTTTTTTTTCCAAGTAAAATACAAAGTTAAATAAGAACACAAGGAAAAAGAATAACATCCTGAGTTCTTTTTTTTGTCTTTTTTTTTTTTTCCTGTTTAGTCACTGCAACTGCATTCTGCACAGAGAATAACCAGTTGAAGAAGAGTTTACATTTTTTTTATCAGTAAATGAGTGTGGTCTATTGCTGTTATTTTGTCCAATATAGTTTTTTTTCCCCCTCTTATGAAGTCTTTGAGAACCATAAAGTCTCAAGTAATAAAGACAAGGAAAAGTATATATAAGCCATCAAAGATACCAATGTGACTCAACTCCTGTATTAATTGTTTCATCCACTTTTGTTTGTTTATTCGCCTGAAGTAGGACTATATAATTTTCTAACTATTTTAGTAAATAAAAATACAAGTAACTACTCTTGTACCCTTAGTTTCGTTAGATTGTAGATATGTTTTTTTAAACTTTACAACAACATCTCCAATAGAAAATACAGTGTAATATAATTTTTAAAAATAGTTAAGAGTTAGTATAATGTTTGAAGAATATCAGTAATGTTTTTATATAATTAAAAAGAATTAGTGAAAGGGATAGAAAAAGAAGGAAGTTATGTGCTATTTCACCGCATCTAGAAAATTAGTGTCAGTGGAGTTTAATCTGAAGATTTAGGTGAGCAAAGACTATTCCATGATCAAGTAAATTACGTATCAGTTAGGAATACATACAATATCAGACAAAGTCACTTTTCTACTACATATGAAAGATATTTAGGATTGAGAAAATTGGAACACATTCTTTCCTTTAATTTCGGCTGAAAAAAGCTCTTAACTAGTGGAGCATGTTTTAGGTTTGTTCCACAAATTATAACTAACTTATAACTTTTTTTTGTTCGACTAAAGTAAAAGAGATTAGCCGTAAATTAAAGATTTTAATTATATATATATATATATATATATATATATATTTATTTTATTATTATTATTATTATTATTATTATCAGTACCTTAGACGAAATCTCACGTTATAATAATATTATAATTAAATTATTTTGCTTATAGTATTTATTTTTTTTAACTTTTAATAAATATTAGATTTTAAAGATGATAAAAAAATGCAAAATTAACTATGAATTTTAAATTATAATTACTTAAAAACAATTTTTATGGATAAAATAAAATTATAAATGAAAAATTACTCCTGACAATGGGAACACATAATTTCCTTTATCTTTGATCGAAAATAACTTAATAAGGTGAGCAGATTTTGTTAAACACGTGTATTCTGTTTGACTTCCTCTCCGACATTGTCACAAAGATGACTTAGATACCCCTTGCCCCTCTCCCAAAAAAAAAAAAACAATCTCAACGTGGATTAAAAAAATCACCGAAGATTATTTTTTGGTAAATAATCATAATTTACTGTATTAGGAGCTTTTATGAAGGTATTTTGGATATTTTATATTGGTTAAGGATGTGACATAAATCACAATGACATAAAATGCCTATATATTTTATGACAGGTAAACACTCCACATAGAAAGTTTATTTTGTATGTCGAATGGTCAACATACATTATAATAAGGATATAATGAGATAAATTTTAATACATTGACACTCACATTTTATGATAAGTGTGACGTTACTCGTCATAAAATGTACACCTCTTATGACGGGTAATTTCATATTCGTTATAGAATATGTAAACTTTTTAATATTCTATTTGTTTATTGAATTTTTTAAAACCTGTACAACAAAAATACATATCAATCAGTTCAAAATAACATATTGTTGTTCAATTTAATACAAACCTATATAAAATATAATATTTATCATTTAAATAGAAACAATGTACAAATTAAACTACATAGCAAACTAAGAGAATTAACACTAAAAATAAGTTTAACAATAACTGTTATTAATAATAACAACGAACAATTACTATAATAATATATGAATGTCATCAAATAACAATGAATATAAATTAAACAAGCTAATGTACAAAAAAACCAAATATAGAAAAACATAAATCAACCCTCAATTTCCTCAAGAGCAAAAGATGTTTATCTTTTGCAAATATCTTCCATGTCTTCATGGGCAAATGGAGTTATATTTTTGAATGCTTACACAATTTATCCAAAATAGAGATAATTTAAACATTAGTCGATAATTAAACTTTTGCATAATCATTTAAAGTAATTAATTTGATTTAAAAATGTATTACTTCTATCCATGACTTTGTAATATTGTCGGTAATGATGGTGAGCATGTGTTTCATCACGTAATAGTTGCACTTATGATTACCAGCTTGGCATGGATTCATTTCATTTATAGAGCAAGCTTTTCGTCCCTTAACATCGTAGTCACTTAAGTTGTCATAGGCAAAAAATTCATTGATTGTGCAAAATAACATGGCACGCATGTTAAAAGTTGTTCCAAAAAATCTGTCAAACACATTAACTTTTTCCTCCCACAACATCCTCAAGTTGTCAACCAAGGGGCTTAGATAAATATCAATATCATTTCTTGGATGTCTTGGACCTAAATTCATCATAAATAACATCACATATTTATGATTCATGCACAACTACAGAGGTAAGTTGTAAATCACTACCAAGACAAGCCATGAACTACTTTTACTGCTTAGGTTACCATATGGATTCATTCCAAATCTTGAATCATTGCCAAAATCTTGAAACATGAAATCTATTTTTTTTTTCCATTGTAAAGAATCAGTTAGATGCCTTAATTGACCATCTTTCTTCCATTCAATTGCAAGTCCGCTAATGTTTTTGGCATCATGAACGTTGGCGAACATACGCTTTAATCTTAGAACAATAGGAAGATACCACAACACCTTCATTGGAAGACCTTTGCTCACCCCACTTTTAGAGTCTCATTCCTTCAGTTCGTAACGTGATAACCTACATTGTAGACATTAATGTAAGCTATCAAACTCTTTTTTGTACAAAATGCAATTGTTGGGACATGCACGATTTTTTTTTATACTCCATACCCATCGGACACAATATCTTCTTTGCATCATAATTATGTGTCAGTAATGTATTACCTTCAAGCATGTCATTTAGCAACTCAAGTAATTTTGTGAAGTTTTTATTAGTCCATCCATTTTTTGTCTTAAAATTGAATAATCTTAACACCACAAACTACCATGTAAAATTTGAGTAGTTTAGATACAAAGGTTTTTTCATATCATTGCACGAACTATCATACAAATATGTGTGTTTGAAAGAATTTGACCTAACATCACGAATCATGTCCCTTAGTCAATTGTCCATCTCTAAATTGACTTGTTCCTTTTATGTTTGACACACTTGTATGCGTGACATGTCTAACAATTCACCATGTCATGTCCATACTATGTAGCTTTTGAGAAACCCGTCACACAAAACTTATTCTCGCATAATGTCTATTGGCTGCCTTTGCAAATTAAAATGATTCACACAAGGACAGAGAACGTTTCATTACTGTCTATAACATTACTTTGCGTAAACTAAAGAAATTCTTCCACTCTATTCTTATATTCAACACTTGTTTGTAAACAATTCATCCAGCTTCGATCCATTATTGTGTTCATCTAACATAAACTATGTTAACCTCACTTTTTAATGCAAGGTGTGACCTTATCCATTAGAAAGATAATTCTTTATACTTGATTAATACATAAAGGAAAAATATCATACATTAAATTTGTCAAAATTTTGACAACATTACACATTAGTCTCCAGGTAAACAAAATGAAAGTAGTTACATCAAATTCACCACAGTCAAGTATGCATATATAGAATAACAAAAAATACAGTTAACCAAAATCTTATCAAATTTAAAATGAAACTTAACCTCTATGCATATATTAATCAATTATAAAAAATATGTATTTTTCCAAACTTTCCTAATAGATAATTCAAGATTCAATGTGATGATTATACATTAATTACGTAACTATTATATTCAATCTCAAAGGAAACTAAAGCTCACACACATTCGATCAATATTCCTAACAACTACAATATAACACTTTGAGATAACTACGTGTGCATTTATTATAATTAATACATTTATGCTAGTATGATTAAATAATATACAAATTGTTAGTTACACAATGTTAGGCAATAAGAATTTAAATAAAAATATATAAGATTAGTGTTATTAGTCCATTTAAAAAATATAGATTAAAAATAAAATTTATAATTAAAAAATAGTTTTGTTACACTATAAGCTAGTAATAATTAAATGAATACTTTAATTATTACTAATTTTATTTTTGTTGTGTTGAAATAGTTAATTACATTGTATATTATATTGTTAAATTTATATGAGTTTTAACTAAGAAAAATTATATGCTTAGTTATCTCAAAGTTTTTCACAAATCCTAATAACATGGAAGAACATCCACAACATAACCACAAACCCACATTGCATAAAACATAAACTAGAGTAATCATTGATGAGACGAGATGACATTGGAACGAGGTTGTTATGGAAGTGAGGTCACTATGGCGGGGACTACCTGAACAACATGGGAGAACACCCACAATATAACCACAAACCAACATTGCATAAAGCATAAACCAGAGTTCTCATTAAGAAGACAAGACAAACTTGGAATGAGGTTGTTGTGGAAGTGAGGTCGTTGTGATAGGGATATCTTGAACAACGTCGTTGCGACAAGGAATGGCTGAATGAGATCATCGAAAATCGTCAAGAGGAGGAATGCTTGTGCTCATTGGAAATCACCTTAGTCACAAAGAAAAAGACAAAAAAGTAGAAAGTGTGAACTAGGTTCGTGCTCTCAGTGATGTTATAATAAGACATTTTGTAGTAGGTGACGATTTATCCATCATAAAATATTTCTTTCTCTGATAGGTGAGTTAGAACCTGTCATACAAAGGTTAGAGCTAAAGGTTGACCAACACATTCTATGACGGTGTTGACTTACTCGTCATGGAACATTCTTTTTATGATAGGTAAGTTAACACTTGTCATAAAATGTTTTGACATATTTAGAAGTTTGTCATCATGCCACTTTCTATGTCATGTGAATCACACTCAACACAAAAAGTGGGTTAGCAAAACTTATTTTTGCACTATTATAGACAAGCAAGAAAAGGGGAAATTACAACTATAGAAACAACACTCCTATAGGATATGCTTAAGGGAGTGGTTTTAGAGCAAGTGGTGGTGAGTCCTATAATACTCTATTTTTGATAAAATATAATACAAGTATTTTTTCAATAATGTTG